TACAAAGGGGAACAAATAACGAAAATGTGTGGGAACATGGGAATATAGGGCAATTTTGGAAGGGAACAAGGGAACAAAGACCCCCCTGGGAGACCCTCAATCATAACGGAAATAATTTGATTCACTCAATCTGAACCACGCACTACGAGTTTCTGGACAGAGGTTTTAGTTTATCAAACAGGAAGAAACCTAACTCAAAGTTATATGATCTCTCAGTATCATTCATATCTTATTACGAACGGAAAAATGTGCAGAACGTCTACAGAGGCTTGCCTAGAAGCAAAGAGGAAACATTTTTTTGGCCATCCATCGTCTCTCACAATCGTTAACTTTTGACAGGATAATTCCAGGACCGTAGCTAGTAACAAGAAAACCGAGGCACTTGCCTAAACTTCACCCTAAATACCTTAGAAGAGAATTAAACCATGGGCATTGCTTCAATCATAATTTTTTCATGGGCATTGCCCTAGTCTTAATTACATTTTTTGACTACGGCCCTGAATTCTCTGTCAAAACTAATTCCAAAAGTCTCTTAAGTTATGTTTTTATCAACAGGCTTAGAACAGATCCCCCAACAAAAAAGAAGATATGTAAGTGCTTTGATTCCAGTTAGCTAGCCCGTCTGCGGTTTTCCTTGACATCTCTATGACAGGTGGAATTTTCGACTTAATGACCATCTTACGTGCTGAAAGATTTAGGAGCTCTAAAATTTCTCCTTATTTGTCTGAGGTAAAAATTTGAAAAAAAAAAAATGGTTTGCCCTCAAGGTTTCAACCGAAAACAACGTGCTTCGAAAACCGTTTCACAAAAGAAGAAACAGGAAAAGCGACAGCTGCGTTCGTACTTTATTGTTACTTATTTTCGCCAGACTTCACAACATGGCGAAATTAAAGTCCCGCGAAAATAGTTTTCGAGAAAATTAACCACGCGAAATTGAATACCCTGCTATAGAATAGTTTATTCAAAACGGATGGTAAGCCGTCACAACCACTTGACTAGCAGTTGGGGAAAGGATGCCAAAGGATGAGAGAAAGCTGGAGTTGCCGGGGTTGTGAAGGGGACTGAGTCAGCCCTTCCTTCCGGGTATCCATTTGAAAAAAATTCCAATGTCGTTAAGCTGTAAGCGCAAATAGACGGCGTCATGTACCCTTTATAGCTCCGCTTTGTTGCAAAGGATTATGTCAAACTCTTTTCCGTTTCGTCTTGTCATATGGCTTTATTCATTGTTATTGGAAACTATTGCTATCGAAAATCAATTGTGCCAAATCATGAGACTAACTGTTTGTTGATGAATATCAGTATTTAGACAAAGTTCCTTTTAACGCATATTTTTGGCCAAATGGCGAGATTTAAGTCCCGCGAAATATGCCCATTCCATTTTCGAAAATAAAGTTCTCGCGAAAATTAGTAATAGTACATTAGAAACTTAAGAAAACGTGAAAAATTGAGTGCGTTCAATGTTTCTCTGACTCGAGACAGTTGGCGTGTTTACATATACTAAGTGATAAACACAAGCGACAAATACTATCAATAACTGGACTTGAATAAAAAGAATGAAATCCTGTTTAGGAAGTCCAAGAATGTTTAAAAGAATTATACATTAAACAGTGGCTTTCTCTTGCTATTTTGCGGAAAATACTTGCTGATTAGTGGTAGGGGGTTTGGTTTTAACTTTTTCTGAAACAGTGCGTCCTCTTTGAGTTCCTGTCATCTCAATATATATCGATAATGCAAATGATATTTCTTTTCTGTGTTTTTATTGATGAAACTATGCATTTGTCATCAGCCGAAAGAAGAGCGTTTCTTTCACTTTTGTGTTTTAACTACTACATAGTGGCATAAGTCGGCTACAATTAAGTAATATTCAGACCGCATTTTTATGCGTTTAGCGGCGTATCAAACCCAGAGGGCATGCTGGGATATCACAAGAAGAGCTTGTTATGTAAATCGTGCGGCGTTTGCTTTCATAGAATAACAATCAGGGAACGATTGTCAAAGAGAGGGATTTATTTTTTCAATTTTGCGATCAAGTTGCTTATTTTCAACAAAACAGGTTCATAAGATGACGTTATGAAAGTAAACAACTGCACACAATCTTTGCAAGTTTACAAACTTCACAGTTTGGCAAAGTGATCAGCAATAACAACTGGCGGGATACAGGTTACTCCCAAATCTTGCGTTGTGATTGGCTACCCGATTAGGCCAGATGGCGCTGTCTTGCCTGCTCGGGACTACCCGCTGTGTCCCGCAAGAACAATTTTCTCCCAAGCCACATGATAAATCTGTTATTGACCAAGCTTGTTCAACTTGGTAAATATCCAATCCTCTTGACCTCACGCCTTGTCAATAACTGACACAGATATATTGAGCAACCTAACCCACGGACGGCTGTAATCAGAACCTCCACTGAGTCCCTTTGGGGCTGTACAAAGTGAACTAGTGAAAGCGCTTACAACTTTCATCTTACTCAAGGGTAGAAGGAGTCGGCTTAAAATTTCTGCCATCAAAATATTTCAAGTAGGCTGATTTCGTAACCAGTTTCTGGTCCTGTTTTTCGTACAATAAGGGTTCCGAATAAAAGCTGAATGAAAATATATTTGTGTCAAATATGTTGAAATTATACCAACCGTTGAAAGTGATAAGGGCTTTTTTATATGTCCCCACTTGAAGTTTCTTCACTTCTACTAAATAATACTTACTGCATAATGAACAGCGTAACGCGAACTATGGAGTTACGGAAACGTGCTGGAGCCTACTAAACACGAGAGAGGTAAGAGTCGCTCGCGACGGTAGCCGAGACGACTCTAACTTCCTGAGTGCCTTGCATGCTTCCCAAGTACATCAATGGTGCTTACTGCTCCGTCTGTCATTTGTTTTATGACCTAACATCAAGAACATAGATAATGGTCAACCAGAATCAGTAAATCCGGCCTAAGGTACAGACGTGTATATATTGTCGAATGTCCGAGCTCCGGTTTTCAAAGAATTTCGCGTTTAGATTCAATCAATGGTTCTCTCAAAGTAGATTGCGACACCCTTTGTTACTACTTACACGACATTCCTACGTTCACTAGCAACATTGCGCTCAATGCAAAACCATGAAAAACTACGCCGAACTACCCGTAAAGCTAGAGTATATTCGCATATAAATTTACCGGTAGCTACACCTGTCGTCAGCGTTCATCAATGGCCGGGCAAATAGTCGACGCTGATTAAGAATCACAGCATAAGCTTTACTTATGACATGAATTCTTTAAAGTGGTGGACCCTCTGTAAGTTGTTTACTTTATAACCGTTTATTTTAGAGATCTCGTGTATCCAAGATTATTTAGGACTGATTTGGTTTGTCAATTCTATTGATCAGACAAAGCTCTCGTGGTAGTCTCAATTATTTTATAAAATTTGATAAATTCACTGTCCAGCGATATTACTTCATCAGTCACCTTTGCAATACCCTTAACTTCTTTCCTTGCTTCTAGGAGATTTCGAGAGATTGTGGACAAACAATTTCAGATTATGACACGACATGACTTGAAAAGCTAATGCAGACGAGTAAGCCACCGCGAATAGCACAAATCACAAAATATTCTCACTCATTTCGCATAGAGCCTCTTTACCTCTGTTAGAACCTCTGCTCTGTTGCTCTGAGTTTCAGTTGGGCGGCGTTCGATAGAGTGAACGTATTGGCGGGTAGTTTAGTAAAGCCGGCTGTCAACATCAGTAACACAGCACAAGCAGGTTGTGTATTGAAACCATTTCAGTGAGTTCTTTCCACAAAGTAGACCCCTATTGAGACTGGTGCGTTTTGTTTCGATCTCTTTAAAAAAATTTCTGAACAGAACAAAGTTTTCCGGCAGGTTATCTATCTCAGGCACGTGTCACCTATAGTAATACAAACTTCGCGTGCCCCCGCACTGTTTACAGCTTTTTTTGGACAAACGCTCCAGGATCGATTATGTTTTTGGACTTGTTGATGCTTTGCTCGAAACGACAACAAACAGAATTTCTGTTGAGTCTTAGCGTTTCAATAAGTCGTGTTGTTATTTAACATACAGTTTACATCAAACAACGAAGCGACTATAGTTCTCACAACATGCACATTACATACACAGCAAATAAGTAATGCCGGCTTGAAATTGTATTTGACCTGAGCATGTAGCGCGGCCAGTGAAGTAACAAAAATTCGGTAACAGAGAGATGCAAAACGGCCTTGGATGTACATTTACGTACTGAATTGATGACCTTTATTGCAATAGTAGCCTCTCTTTAAACCGTAAGAACGCGCAGAACTGCTTTGTCAACCTCTTGAAACCAAAACGGAAAGACCTTCATCGTAAAGAGTCCACAATTAAAGCGAGCGAATGAATCCCTGACTGCGTCTTTCCAAGAAATAGTTTTAATTAGCTTAACGAGAAATGAAAGTAAGAAAATCACGGTAAATAATATTTAGAATATTTTGTCCCCGCATTAACAATTCTTCCTTTGTAAATTCGTAGTTTTAGACGTTCCATGTGCCGTTACTCTCTACTGTTTTGCCTGTCACTTGAAGACTGCTGGATAACAGTTTTCCCCCATCGCAGAAATCGAAAAACTAATGTAATAAACCCTAACTATTGTACACTCAATTTTTGGTCAGACTTTCATAAAGTAATGCTCTCGAGTGTTGGACCAGCAGCTAGAAAGTTAAAATGTACATAACAAGAGTCTTGCATTTATTAATTCTTGCAACACAAACTTTGTGCAACCCTTCATAACCAGTTACAAAACTCAGTCTCATCCAATGGCGGAAAATCTAAGGCACGTATTTGATTGTTGAAAGACGTTGCGTTAAGTCTATTTTATTGAAGGCTTTTGTAAACGGTCAAGCCGAACAAAAAAGGGTAGTTAGAAAGAAACGCATAACAACTGTTCAAGCTCACGAAAGCTAACTTTAAGAAGACCTGAAGTTCAAGAGCGCATTTTTACATGCAATCCATTTAGGACATTCAAAGAACCATGATTTTATAACGTTCAGAGTCGAAAAACAGTTAATTAGGCGTAGGAGTGATAAGACCTGGCGAACAATATTATAACAGCACAAGTTAACGATATCAGACCTCGTGATGAGCCATGAGTTCAATAGCTAGCTATACTGCCAATAAATGAAAAGCGACAAGTACAGGCATTATGAAAACTAAAGCAATATCGTTAATGATTTGACAAGGAGAGGAAAATTACAGGTCTTCCACAAAGAACTAATTTGGCTATAGATTTGCCTAACGTTTTCAATTGTTTTGTGAAAAGCTAATGGCATTAGCAGATTAAGTGAAGGCGTCCAGATGTAGATATTGACTGAATAAAGGTAATGAAAGAAATAATAATTTTACAATACACCAAGATGATTCAGGAGGCATCGCATTTCAGTCAGTGAACGGATGGGCCGAATCTTAGGAACAAAAGACAGAACGATCAGGCAAAACTCTACATAACATCTCTTTTAACCTGCATTCACAAGTAAAATGCATTTTATTTTCCTTCATGGACAGAGCCCCCAACGTACTCGGTTTTAGTTGAAAGCCAAAGCTTGTTAATTTTGATCATGCATTCAACATCCGTCGCAGAAACGATTTTATTTAAGGCATTATCTTATGTAGACTTGTCTTATTCGATAACTCTAGCAAATCTTGAACAAGTAACCGCTAATGGAATCACAAAAAGTTGCCAAATTTGTTGTCTCCAGATCAGTAAACTTAAAGAAAAATCAAAAACGTATTAACAGATGACGATATCTCATGTATAAAAGGTTCAGCCTGTTCTGCTGATTTATATTTACGCGAGGTCAGGAGCTAACACTGTTCCCTTGTTCACTGTTCATGTGCGGTGTCGCTGAATAAAACATAAACAACCCAGCTTGAAATCAAAGAACAACACATAAAAATCTCATTCAGTGGGTATGTATTGAGGCCTGGCATAAAACTGCCCCAGCATGTGGAGTTTGCTCGAAAATAAATGAATTCGCTTCGTAGGTGGAAATTCCACATGGTGGCTATGAATGTGACTGAATTACCGCTTGGAGCGGGGATGTGAATTTCAAATTAAAAATTAAGTTCAACCGCTGTGTTGTCAGTGACTAGACATTATACATCGCAAACCACCCGTGAAAAAAAGCCAATTACTTGTAGTGTTTCTCTTGTCGTAGACAGCATCTGAAGAACGCAAACACAATCCGTTTGCCCTAAAGGCATGGGTTATTTTCACAGAATGCGTGGGATAAAAGTGAAACGAAAATTCAACAAACAACTCAAACATCCACCGTGCAAAAACTATATTCACCTTTGAAAAACTCAACAAGCGCTCTCGTTTTTGTCAGTTCCTGTTTTGTGGCGTTTGTGATGGCGCAAACTTACAGGAAAGTATTTCCTTACATTAAATAACGATAGGCGGCTCACCATCAATGGTAGAAGCAGACCTGTTTTTCTAAGCAAGGGGATTTTAACTGTGTTAAATGTTATTTCCTTTTCTTTCACAGCAAAAAGTTTACTGACAATGGAAGAGGAGTTTGTTTACGAAAACAAAAGAAGAGACCTCACGATTTCCGAGTACTGCTGAGAATAAAAGGCAGGTTTTTTTCTTCTTCGAACTCAGGGGGTGCAATGGACTAGCCCGACCGCATGGCTCGAAATTACAGCCGAGGGTGACAAACACTTATTGCCACCTGGTTATAGGAGCTTATCACATCACTGGCATATCATCAGCCAACTGATCGTAACCTTATGGAACATGCTTAAGGTCAGTATGACCTCAACAAAGAAGGAATAAAGCAAAATGTTCCGAACACGTTATCTATTAAATTAGGAAATTTACAGATTGAAAACGTGCAGTGCGTACTTGGGTCCCACAGCAAGGCTGTTGATTTCTAAGCATATATTTTAATAATCATGGAATTTTTTTAAGCCTATGTACAATCCAATTACTTAAACCACAATATATGTTACTCAAGATCATGATTAAATACAAAAAATTACTAGTTAGTTTAAAATATTTTCAAGAGGCGAAGTATGTAATTTTTCTGTTGTAAATTCAGGACATGATGATACAATGCAACTGTGCAAAGCATTAAAATTTTAAAGAATCTTGTTTTAGAAGAAAGTTGCAACAATTAAAACGTAGCAGCCAAGAAAGGTTTCAGGAGCTCTCTGTAAAGAAACTCTTGCCTTGCTATTTTAAGTAATCTGTGAAAAAAATCGTTTTCACGTATCTAGCCGATGCGGCAGTACGTGTAAATGTCTCATTGTGTTGATGCACACACCGCCTTCACTTTATACAATGTCTTTTTTTATTGTAGTAATTTAACCTGCAGAATCTTGTACTCCTAACCTGATTCGAATTACTCTGAGTTTATATTTGCATTGCTCTTCCTTTGACTTGTCCTTTGTCGAGAAGACTTTAACCCATCCTAATTAGTGCGTTTTATTTCGAAAAATTCTGAATTTTAGGCACTTTAACTGAATCAGTCAGGTTTGAATTCTTATGAGAAACTTAAGTTTAACATTATAGTTTTCGGTGAAGGAAGGTCAGAAGCAGTAGATGGTAACATTCTGGGCCTGGTTGACATTGAACTTTCCAAATATTTATTTGGAATAGACGTAGAAACGTTTTTCAGTTCTTGGTAAGTAATCTAAAGCCTCAAATAAGGATGGAAGTGCTTGGAACTCTCGCAGAGATTGCATTGCGTGCAGTTAAGATGTTGGTAGTAAGGCAAAAACGGTATCTGGGAGTGGACAAACAGAGAGTCTGTTGACGTCGAGGGACTGTAATATTGGAAGGGAAGGCCAAAAGGTGCAATCCCTGAGACTTTGTGCGGTTCAAGACTTGGAAAGCCTAACTGTGGCATCAACGAAGTTGTGCCAAATCGATTGTGGAGATCTAGAGGAGAAGTGAAAGCGTGCCTCCCCGGTTCTACAACAGGCACAGACTTGGCCTCGATTCTGTTGGGATCCTGTCTTTTAAATCTTGTCTTCCTTCGAAGAAAGCTGCCATTTTCAAACATGTTATAACTCTCCGGATCCAGTGTCCAGTAGTTCCCCTTTAGTGGCTCGTCGGACTTAATTCCGGTCTTGATAAAACAGTCGTTCAGTGAGAGGTTATTGCGGATGCAGATTTTCCACGATGGGTAGGTATCGCGGTAGAAGGGAAACCTGTCTCTGATAAACTTACATATACCATCCAGAGTCAGCCTCTTCTCTGACGAATTTTGGATCGCCATTGCAATAAGTGCTATGTAGGAGTATGGAGGCCTTCGTCTGGATTTGCGGTGGGTTCGCGTTTTCTTGTTATCCGTGTTGGACTCATTCTGCATTTCATCGACTTGTTGGTTTTGGTCACTCTCGTCACGCTGCAAATTGTTTTCAGATCTGTTACGATCATCGACTTCTTGCTGTCCGGTCGCTAATTGTCCTTTACCAGTTTCCATTGGCGCGGATAATCCAGTTTGCAGAAGGTTGTTTTGAGGTAATCGTCTAAAGCTATCCATCAGGATTACGAAGAAGTCTTGGGGTAAAGCTTAATCGAATTAGTCGACGATGAATTTGGTTCTTGAATTACCGACCTTCTGTGTCTTCTTAAGCTTCTTTGCAGGTGATATACAAGATTCCCACTGCAGTTCAAAATAATATACAGACTCAATTCTACGTTCTTTTCAACAGATCTAGAGAAATGGAAAGCATGTGCAGAAACAATGATGAACTGCTTATACGCAGGTGTAAATGGCGCCAGGATAAATCACACCTCGCTAATGCAGTGTTTTGTGCTCGAACAACCACTTGATAATAGAGTACAATGAATTGGGCCTACCTTTGCTGACACTTCGCCACAAAGCTTTAGAAAGTGATTGAGGTTTAATTAAGCACGCTTTGTAGAGGAACGTAGTCAGGAAATCAGTCAAGGGCCGAGATCTGCGTCAAATTTCAGCCAAGATCTTTACCTCCCGCAGACACGTGCAAACTGCCTGCTGGTTCACTGGGTTGAATAACTGCTCTCTCCTAAAAGTGATTGTATTCGTTGAAAAAACCCAGGGGCAATTTCTTTTCAATTGCGAGCGTGTAACAAATGCTAACATAGACTGGAAGCCCGTATTGAACAACTAAGAACAACACGTATTGTTTCCAATTGAATAGCATTTATTAGCATCTAAGGTAAAGGCACTTAACAATAACTTGATTATGACGAAGTTTCGCTGTTTTACCAAAATATTATTTGTTATATGCTTTGTGTGTGCCCCGACAGCTGACGGGTGTACCCTGACCAAGCAGGACGTCCAAAGGACAAAGAGCAGTCCGACTGAAGTGCTTTTCTAATAACTTCATGGAAACTGTCCGTTTGAATCAATGCCAACTTGTACAACGGTAAAGAACAAGACGACAATCTAACAAATTACACTCAGTTGTACTGTTCATCTTTATTTATTTTCCCATCTCCCTACTAACGCTTGACCTTGTTCATTATTTTTTTTCTTTGAACTATATATAAATACCACGCTATAGGTGATTTATAACGCGACACTTACAAAAGCCTATTAACAGATATATCTTGATATTATGACATAAATTTGTAATATCTTTTTTGGCGTACATCAATCAATCAAAGAATTATACGAGTGTACCTGTGTTCGTTTTCAACAATTTCGAGTGCTCTGTCGTCATGTGATATCACCATAACCAATCGTGATAAAAATCATACTACTAAGCTTTGGTTTTCCTTACCCTTAACTACGGATTAATTTTGACAAAAATTCCAACAACGGTGTTCTTTAGTGCTTTACCAACAGGGGAGCGATTGTAAAAAGCGGCCTTATGGATTAATTTGACCACAGGGGTCAGGTTTTGTAATGCTTCAGTGTTTTTCTTTTTAATAGCAAACAATAAAGATGCGCAGTGCTTTGTCAAGATATCATAAACGAAGGCCGTAAAAATGCTTTAAATACCGGCTTGTAAGGTACCATTGTACAAAGGGAAGAATTTTTCTCAAGTTCAGTGTGGCAATTATTTTCCGCAGAAAGCGAGGTGTTTAACAGCCTTTTTATTCCTTGCTTTTCTGCCACGGAACAAAGGCTTCGAATAACAGAAAAGGTTAATCTAAATTTACTTCGGGTGGAAAGAATGGCAAGGGTGTTTACGCACAATTATCACTATTCTTTCAAAAGTACTCATCGTTCTTGCGATTATCATTTAAATGTAAGAAATAAATTTTTGTTTGAGAATCATAGTCCATTACGGCTGCTTTGAATAGTTTCTTTCTGACAGTTGTCGAAGTTGGCTATTGTTTGAAGTGGGCTTTTGTTGCCGAAAACTAAGAATACATCAGGAAAGTTTCGCTTCGATCTGGCAGTATAGTCTAGCAGTCAGAATAGTCCCCAAGTTTTTCAACCAAAACAGTTGAATTGCAAAACCATTCAACAATGCCTCGATCGATTTCTATACAAGCTTGAATTTTGAATTTGCAAAAGCGATAATCAGTTTAGCTGTATTTATTGTTCCATAAATGAATCAGGTATCAGTTAATTGATTACGGTAGCTCTGCTCGAGAGGAACACAGGGTAAAACAGATGCTACTGCATTATATTCTGTGTGTTCAGATGTAATATTGCCAGCTGTATCGTTTGCTTTCTTTTCTTTTAAGAAACCCTCAGTGATTCAACAGAAGGATACAGCAAATAAGCTATTGAAATGTGATGAATATTTATCAACCAAACCACGCGATAAGTCAAAAAAATATCGGTGATAGTAAATTCGAACGAAACCATCGGCTTTGTTATTTCGGCAAACGTTCCTCGCTGACTCGGGGAATGTAACTTTGGATATTAGAAGATACTATTCTAGTTCCCTATTTTACAAATCATTCAGTACACATGTCCAGTCGATATTTCGAAATTCGAAAGTAAATAACTACTGACATACTTAAAAATTTTAGGTGCCGTATCCAGCAGAGATAGTGAATAAACTAGAAACTTACACCCTTTGCTCCTTGCTGTGGCTATGTTGAGTGCCGTTCAACAAGGAAAAAAACAACAGATGGTTCGTTTCGATTTGATATCTATTAAGCAATTAATGCCTGTGCTCTCGTTCTCTGTAATAAACACTTCCTTCCCGCAACCATTGTAGCTAGAATCGCCGGTTAATGTTTTAAAACTCAGCTGCGATTGTTGGGCGACTGTTTTGAGATAACTTTGTATTTACCATGTGTCGTCTATGGAATGTACTCCAATGTTCTTGTTGTTTGATCAAAACATATTAGTCAAATCTAGGTGCAACACAGTTGGTAATATATTAGTGTTATCTGTCGCCCCGATCAAAAACCTTTATAGGCGTTATTTTGGTTATAACATGTTACACATAAGATGAGATGAGATAAGATGAGAAATTAATAGAAAAGCAAAAGGAAAATTATGTACAAAAGATAAGAGGCTAGACGATTCTAACGAAGTCCGTTAGGTTTACTTATACCACGAGGCTATGGTAAATATTTTATGGAGTTACCTCCAAGGACAACTTTGGAAAGTTGGAATAGGTTTTCGTCCCGGCTATCGTGTCAACTTGTTCGATAAGTTTGGATAATCGCTTAATGGTATCTGTGTTTCCGTAGCCTATTCCTGACTTCTTGTACTCCTCGTCAATAAGAGAATCACATCGTTTAATTGTCTGGTTGAGAATCTCGACCACTGACAATACAAAAGGAAGTGTCATGTAAGATTTAAGCATTCCTCATGTATCCTTCAAAATCATGTAAGTTTCGTCTTTTTCGCAAAGAATTCAGACGTTTTAAACATTGCCTAGATCACACATCTTGTCCGCTTTCGTTTGACGCAATAAATTTCGTAAAAAATCCGTTACTTTACTTTCTGAAGGAACAAAAAGTTCTTCATTCCAAAAAACACAAACCAGACGACTGTTGTGTTGCGTCGGCAGCGAACAAAGATATCATTACTCAAGACCAGATAAATTAAGATTTAAATAAGCCTGATGAGAAAAGAGAAGAAGTTAAGATAGGATGAGATGAGATGAGATGAGATGAGATGAGATGAGATGAGATGAGATGGGAGATATAAGATGAGATGAGATGAGATAAGATGAGATGAGGTAAGATTAGATGAATGAGGCGAGAGAAATGAAATGAGATGAGATAAAACGAGATGAGATAAGATGCAGTGAGGTGAAATGAGATGACATGACACGAGAGGACGCAAGATCTATTATATTCTAGGTGACATGAGGTGAGATGAGATATCTATTTTAAAGCAAATCCGCATTGACAAACAAGTGAGAAGCGCCGCATCTATAAACAAAATCAGGAAACTGGTCCGTATTCCAGGGAGGGGAGATGAAGACAGAAATCAAATAACAAAATTTATTTTTTTCTCAAGCATCTTAGCGGGCCGGATTCCTAAATCTTCGAATTTGATTGGCTAATCATACGCACGTGACCGGTCCAGCTTTTTACGATACGGCCCACGGGCCAGATTTTTTCTTTGCAGCCTAAATTTCGCTCCTAAAAGTTGGCGGTAGTCGTCAATCTTTTGCCTTTTTTACACGTCCATCGACGATTAGTCAACGCAAGTTTATCTCTGTTAACTTTAAAATGGCAAGGAAAGTCACTGTAAGTAAATTTAATTGAGTGTTTTGAAGTTGTGAGAGTTTGCTTGGTTGTTTGTAGCTTGGCGCTGTAATGGCGCGTAACCCTGTGTTTCTCTCGCCATAACATTTGAGTCAATTTCAGTCGAGTTTACCTCTCTGATCGTTGCTGTATTTAGGAGAACTTAGTGGAATACACTTCACGAATTTCCTCGCTTTCTGCTATTCAATTTACGGTAGAAAAGTCTGATTTCAAGTGATTTTAAAAGCAACGACTGACAGAAATTGTTTTTGTAGTAAAACTTCAAACTTCGCACGAAATTTCACACCGCAAAAACAATTTTGGAGAACTTAACTGGTGAAATAAATGCAACTAACGTAAAGTACTTCGAAAAAAAATCTCTTTTTTAAAACATCTTTCTTTGTCTACTACCTGAGTTACTCGCTCGTTGCCGAGATTTTTGCAAATCGTTAGCAGACGGCGCGGAAGCCGATTCAGTGACAAGAGTTGCGTAAACAAACCCATCTGTAATTAGTAAAACCAATTTACTGCAGGAGAAAAAAAATAAACATGTTATTTGCCGGCTTTGGGTCGGTCCGTATAGTGCTTGAAAATGCTGAAAATGCTGCCCTCGGTCACAGTTTTTCACCATACGGACCTCCCAGCCGGCAAATAACATATATAAACTACAAAATATATTTGCCCGATACTTTGGTTTGGAAAACAAACCCTCCGAGGCTAGAAGAAAAAAAATGAGCGGTTATGTTACCGGAGAGCCGTTCAGTTATAAGATTAGATAGGCCCGATAGGATAGGATAAGCCAAGACATACCTCTTACTAACCGATGGCGGGAACCAACAATTAAAAGAACTCAGTTTTCAAATCTTTGATTAACAGGCGGTTATAAATCAAACATGGGCGGACATCGGGAATGCATGCCTCGACAGCAGCTAGATGATCTTGCGAAGATCTGTTATCGGGTCTGAACAATAACTATATTTAATCTAAACTAAATAACTATATTTAAGGTAATTCCTCTGAAATAAAAGTGAGCGTAGATTTTTGTTCAAACTTTGTCCACTGAATATTTGTCATATGATAACTTCAATTTTGAAATAAAAAATGGGGGTGCCCATGCTCATTAAGGAGCAGTGAGGCATTGAAAATACCCCATTTTGGCATTATTTAATGCTTATTATAAGAATTGTAAAATCTTTGTGAGCCCAGACTCATAAGAACACGCATTAAACTACAGTCAATACATTGTGTCGGACACAAATAAACATTTNCAAAAACAATTTTGGAGAACTTAACTGGTGAAATAAATGCAACTAACACAAAGTAGTTCGAAAAAAATCTCTTTTTTAATACATCTTTCTTTGTCTACTACCTGAGTTACTCGCTCGTTGCCGAGATTTTTTACAAATCATCAGTAGACGGCGCGCAAGCCGATTCAATGACTAGAGTTGCGTAAACAAACCCATTTAATTGTAATCTGTAAAACCAATTTACTGCAGGAAAAAAATAAATAAACATGTTATTTTCCGGCTTACGGTCGGTCCGTGTGGTGAAAAACTGTGACCTCGGGCTTGAAAATGCTGCTCGGTCACAGTTTTTCACGATACGGACCTCCCAGCCGGCAAATAACATATATGTATTCACAGCCACCCTAAATTTTCCAAAAAATTGAGGTGGTCCTGAATCTGCCTCTACCATTTTTTTACACTTACCTAACACGTAAAACTTGACATGCTGACTAGAATCCGATTTAAAAAAGAGTTACAGGAGTCGGTCTTGAGTTACAA